CATGACCGCATGCAGCTTCATCCGAACCAAAATTGTCGGCCCTAAGATCAACTCCCGGGCGGGGCAAATTTTTTCTTTGTCGCTTTTTGTCTCCCGTTCGGCATGACCGAGCTCAGACCTCGGTCCCGTAGGAGCAAGCTGGTAGCCGAGCGTGTTAAAGCGTGATCGTTGGCAGATCGTGCGGGTAGTCGGTAGTTCGATTCCCATCCGCGATAACTTTTCCTGCTATGCTTAGGGTTCGAGAGCAAAGTAAATTTCGAGAAATTTTGAGTAAAATACTAGTAAATTACGGTAAATTACTTTCCCTCAAAGTAATTTACTTCAAGATTTGTAAGAAATCAGACTTATTTTGCTCATATATTTTACTTTTTTACCGGATGCACGCATAGATGCGGCTGTTCTTCTCATACAGGCCGTAAGGCCACTGAATTTTAATGGATTGACTGACAACGTTCTAATATTTCCAGTGGACAAATTCATATCCATGATCTATTTTGCTTGAAGCTTTGCAATTTGTGCAGGTTTTCGGCTTCAATGCTTTGTGAACTATGCAGACAATTACATACATTTTAAGTTCTTTTCGTAATTGTGCACAGAGGCAGACATTAAAACTTCATGTGGCTACAGCGAGGCTAGACGTGAGACTTCACTGGTGTACCAAGGATGCACTACGTATGCTTTCAGAACGCGGCAAATATTTTAAAAGGTTCTTTATCGGGTGGTGAGGAGCAAAGTATCTGTTCTCCCTCGTTAAAATCTTTTCACTTTTTATTCAGTCCGTCTATGTCGGTGGTGCTACTGAAGCAGGTGCTTTCAATACTATATCGTAATCGGGAAAACGTACAAGTACCCTTAAAAAATGTTTTAAATTGCGTTTTTCTTTAAAATGCGCTGTTTTTAGTAAATTACTCAAAAAAACAGTAATTTACCGAAATTTACCCAGGTTTTTTACTTTGAACCAAAATTACCGGTAATTCTCGAACCCTATGGCCAAGAGTGTCTTCGGGCGTCGGTTACAGCTTAGATCAAGATGCCGCTGAAAGTAGTGCTCTGTATCGTTCCGTCGTGGCCAAGTCGGTAGCGTCCCGGCGCGGTATGAATCTGGTCGCTGGTTCGAATCTCGGCTCGGTGATAATTTTCGCGCTCCGCTGGTCATGACTTTACAGCAGTGCGACACCTGATGTGTTGGGCCGGTACGCAAACAGTCGCTGATTCGAATCTAGTCGACGTCGACAGTCGACTAAACCCTTTTGCCCCCTGCCAGCCATGTTTCGGGGTGAGAGCCACAGCGAAGATAAGCTTCACCCAAGCACAACCCTCATCATTGGCTCAGTTGGTAGAGCGCGCGACCGGGACGTGGATGGTTGTCGGTTCGAATACTGACCGAGGCTCATTTTTTTCCTATTTAGTAGTTTGCAGCGCGGGGACCAAGGGTTAAGACAAAAGGCCAGCTGACATGGAGAGGTGGACTTGACCGACTACTCCGCAGCCCCCCCCCCCCCCCAAGTCAAAAAACCAACAAGAAAATGATCGCCCCGACCCGGATTCGACCCCTGGGCTGAGAGTGTCATGTGCACCAAGCCCTAGCGCGCTCGCCACTCGGCTGTCGGCTCCGCATGTCAGCGAAAGGTTCAGAACTCGGTCCTGCTTTAGGAGTCTGCTTGGTCTCCCGGATTGCACGCGTTCAGGTCGGGTCAAGTCCATCTCCTCGACGCGCTGCATCCCGGGTCGACTCCTGGCCAGAAACAAGGAAAATGGCCACTAAAAGAGCCCCTTGGGCGCGCGGGGGTTAGGTTAGGTCCATTTATGTTACTTGTTCCGTGTTTTTGGCCAGAATTCGACCCGGGCTGCAGCGCGTCGAGGAGGTGGACTTGACCT